AGGCAACCCCGAATTATGAGGCTTTCCGGATGCGAGGAGTGGTTTGTTAAGATGGGGACCTCTCGAAGGATGCTAGTGAAGTAGAGAAATGGCTGGTGAAGGTCTCGCGCACATTAACTGAAATAAGGGCAGATGATGAGGACAGGGTGCTACTGACAGTATCCTTGCTCCAGGATTCAACATACGGTTGGTGGTGCACCCAGCCAGTTAGCCAGGAAGACCCATCAGGTATCACTTGGCCAGAGTTGGTGCGGGTGTTCCGGGATCACTATGTACTAGAAGCCTATCGACTGAGCAAGAAGAGGGAATTTTTACTGATCAAGTAAGGATGGGGCAATGAAGGAGAGGAGGGTGTTGCAGAATACACCTCTAGGTTCGAGAAGCTGCTGCCCTACAGGGGACCCCCAGTTCCAGGATGCGGCATCTCAATGTGCCCACTATTTGGAGAGTCTGAAGCCTTCCCTTAAGAACTAGTTGAGCATGCTAGCGTGAAACAGTCGGGAGGAGATTTATCAAGCGGCTCTTCGAATAGAGAGGGCTGAAACAGCTGTGCATGAAGAAGGGATACAACGAGAGGGAAGCAAGAGAAAGGCAAGTAGCATGCCAGAGTGGTCTGGCCAGGCCAGTCAGTACAGAAGGAGGCCGAGTGGTACCGTTAGCTTTGGAGGTACTCGAGTCATACAGGCTCGGTCCGGCCTGGTCAAACTTTCAACAATAGAGGTCCCTGCAACCAGTGTGGGCGGGATCACTCAGGGGACTGTAGGCAGCCCCCAGGGTCTGCTATAACTGTAACGAGTTTGGGCATTTCGCTAGAGAATGCCCCTGGTGAGGCGGACAAGGGATGGCTCGGTCTGAGCAGTCTGTCCGGCATGGTGGAGCGAGGACTCACGTAGGACCACAGTTTGGAGGCCAGCCAAACCGCTCTTTCCAGAGCCTGGGAGGGGTTTCGTCGAAGAAGGAATCGTGGAGTCATCTTTTCGAGGTGAGTGTAAAGGTAAAATCTCTTTCGTAGGTCTTTTAGTTTATACTTTTCCAAGCTATTCATAAGTTAATTTATGAGTTTGCGCGATATGTGTGTGAGGCATCCCACCGCATGTAAGGGTGCAGGCACGCGTTGTGCTATGTATGAATGTATGGATGTATGATTGTAATAGTTGGTTGATGGTAAGATGAACCCCCGGGTGGTTGGGTCCCTAATGACGGCGAGACGTAACGAAGTAGTTGACGGGCATGGACTGGACGCCGATACGTAACGCAGTGCCATTGCCGAGTTTGGGTATGCAAGCGGACGACGAGACGTAACGCGGTTGGCATAATAGGGTAGGGACACCGGACGACGAGACCTAATGCGGTGGTCCTTAGTGTTGGTGTCTTTGGATTAAGAATATAAGTAAGGAAATTCTAAAGATAAGTTAGGAGTAGAGATCTCTTATAGACTGTTTGATAACAAAGTATAAAGGATGAAAGCAAGAACGAATTTTGTCTAAGTCAAGAACCAGAATAATGTGTTTAGTAAGGAGTTTCTTAGGGCGAAGACCTTAGGAAGTAACGACGAGACTGACCCCTTCTCACTCACCAGGTGCAGAGAGGGGAAGAGGACGCATCCATCAAGAGGAGGTTACTCAAGGAGAGCAGCCTCGACAAACCTGAAGATGTCAACTGGAACAGGGTAACGAGATGGGACCTCGCATATATCTGTCTTTAGTTTCATGTCTTAATGAGTATACTGGGAAACTCAAGGATTGTGTTTTATGTTTTGTTGCTCTGGATTGAGGTCACCCAAGTGTTTAGGGCATTTCACTTGAGAATCTTAAAAAAATTGTTGTTGTTGATTTTTGGTTTTGACTTGTAAATCTGTTTTGGGTTGCTCCGGAGTAACCGGTTTGTGGTTTGAGTTATGGTTTGGTTTTCAAAAAGGATCGGGTCGTTTCATCTCAATACTCAAAACCAAAGCGAACTCATGGGACTTGGCCAAACCTGCTCTGATATTATGTCATAAACCAGTTGGTCCCAATAACTTGAGTTGTTGGGAGAAGGTTATGTTGTATCTTATATCACTCTCTAAAGGTCCAACTGGTATTGGATCGTTAGAGGACCAGTACATTATAAACACTAATATAATAATTACAAGACACATAAGACAGTAATTAATAATTCAATGGCTAAAAATGAAATTTACTTTGTAGGTACCACTAAATAATTTTACAATATATCTACAATCTACATCTACAAATATAGTTGGATATTTTAACTTCCAGCTCCGTTCAAATTTTTCTGCAACGATAGTGAAATTAGGAAGGGTATTTTTGTCTTGACAATGATCTATTTGTTTCTCATTTATTACTATAAAAAAAGAAACACATACTAGGATTCAAACCTTGGTCAAATTTAACAATGACAATAATCTTAACCAATCAAACTACATAGATTAGTTGTATCATTTTGAATAAAAAACATACATGAAGCGAAAATTAATTTTTTTGACAATAATGAAGCGAAAATTAAAAAATCACATAAATTTTCAACTTCTAGCTATGGTCACTAAACCTTCGCTCGGTACTTATTTGTGTTTTGATATTTTGATTTTCATATTTAATTATTTTAATTATATTTTGATACTTAATTTACATTTCTATTTATCTTATAAATAGAGGATAACTTTAAAAATCATAGAACAAATATAATTGGTTCAATATTAGATATTGAATTGCAATATCGAATTTGTATAAGCGATGTTGAACTTTTACATTAGTATTAGTTTATAAAACTACCATGAGGCAATCATATTCATATCTTTCTACAAACTATATTGTGACGGGTTATTTGAACTTTTTAGTTCGGCTAACCGTGTAGTTTTAAACATCTTCCTAATCCTACAGGAATGATTGAATATGATAATCATTAGACGGGGTTGAGTTTAATAGGTTGGTTTATTTCATCTTTTTTAATTTATTAAAATAAATTTGTAGAGTAAGGAAATGTCTACATATACACTCTACACAATATATACTACGGGCATGATAAAATTTTCGTCGAATTTCAAATTTCCTACAATGAGAGCAAAAAAATGAATGACATTTTTGTCTTCGCCATTATTTATCTTTATTTTGCATAGAAAATAGACAAGTATTGTGATTTCAACTAATGTATCTTCAAACACAAACAAGAGTCATAACCATGATAATCAATTCGAGTTTGACTCTGCTGGTCCAACCAATTCTACCTAAACCTGAGTATCTCGGCGGGTGCCGAAGGCACAGTTGGTTGTCTACTCGGGCTCGGTCAAACCCATGAAAACCCAATCCAATCGGAAAATCTGACCGATTGAACCAACTGATTTGAGCACCGACTACTTCAAAACGATGTTGTTTCAACAATTTGTATACATAACTACGCTGTCATATCATCCTTTTACTTATCACAAAACCCGACAACATGGAACATCACAAACCATGTTCGACTATCTCATCATCTCTTCTTCTTGCTTTAGATTCGAGAGCCTATAAAGACCCAACCATCTCAAAAGCCATCATAATCCCGCAATAGTAAATTTCATTTTTCTCCAGCTGCACAGTCATAGAGCCAGTCGACCTCATCTCATACAAATAAGAAGCAAAAATTATTAGAGGAACATGCATTTGAGTTGAAACTTTGTGTGACTAACAGAGGTCAAATTCTTCATTTTAATTATTGTTTAATACTTAACTAAATTCATATATATCTAATAAATCGAGGATAAATTTAAAATCGCGGCTCAAATATCATTGGTTCGAATATTCCATATTGAATTGAAGTATTGAATATGTAGAAGTGATGTATAATTCTTAAATTAGTATTAAGTTTTAGACCTACTATGAAACAATCGTATTCATATCTTTGTGTAAACTATATGGGATTGGTTCTTCAAACATTTTAGTTCGGCTAGCCGTCAAATTTTAAACCTCTTCCTATTCTGACATGATTGGATCCAACGATCACTACGAGTTTAATAAGTTGGCTCATTTCACCTTTTTTAAATGTGCTAATGAATTTGTAGTGAAAGTACATGTCTTTATCTACACTCTACAAAATGTGTAATGCTGAAATGAGAAAATCGTTGTCTCATTTCAAATTTCCTACAACAAGAGCGAATGTAGGAATGATATTTTTGCTTCACAATTCTGTTATAGAAACTACCAACTTCCAAAACCAAGAAATTGTAGCTCAAACTAAAAATCAGAGCATCGAAAATCAAACTTCACAAATGTTATTTCATATATCACTTATTTGAGAGATTTTTCTCTCTATAAACAAAATAAAATGAAACAAGCTATAGTTAAATCAACATCTTTGGCTCAAATACGATGACCTGCTTCTTCGTGGGAGAAAAGAATACGTGTGCTGGTGTCAGAGATCTGGAGAGCAAAGATAAAAAGGATACATGCGGCACGAGATCTAGAAAATTGTTGAAGATTTAGATGAGAGGTAACAAGATCTTCCTACTTCCGAAGATTTAGATGAGAGATAACAAAAGTTGTTGAAGATTTAGTAAGTCAAATGATATATTAATAAATTAATATAATATTCACACTCTTTCGGCACACTCAAATTATAATTCTCGAATAATATATGCTCTTATGCTATCATTCTAGCTCCCATTCCGCAAATTGGTAAGCTAAATCCATTAAATTAATTTTGTAGATAAAGACACTACTGGCAGAACTCGCCTTCCATCACATATTGCCTACCCTCGCAAACACCCCCACGGTCAATTCCCACTTGGCCATTCCTCATTAATTCCACATAGGGGCAGACACACCGTCGCCATAGGAGTGCGACCTTCATCACGTGATAAATACATGTTGTTGGAATGCCTTTTAGGAGCTCGAAGGAGGATAGCGGAAAGTAGCAAGTAGAGAAACAAATGTAAATAGTCCATGCGAGGAAGAATATTATCCATATGTAGATGAGATTTTATATAAGTTATAAATATATGAACCATATAATGAATTTTCATATATCCGGGCAAAAGAGGACTAAAACGATTGGACCTTTAACCCTCAACCCACTTAATCCACCGGACCAACGGGCTAAACCGGGTTGACAAGCTTTAATAATTTGAAATTCATATATTCTAAAAATTTTGGGTTCACATTTTTATGATTGAGTCCAATCAATCAATAATTGTGGACTTTCAGAGAGTGGTTGAAATTCAAAAGTCAGTCTTCAAGGTTCTTTCGTGATAGACAAGTTTTTGCGTTTATTTATTGTTGGGTCGAAGAAAGAGAAAGGGAAACAGATGGATGATGGGATTGTGTCTATTAATTATTGGTAGTTGCAGATGGAGAAGATCAGCTACAAAATAAGGGTAAATGCAATTTGTTAAAACGTATATACTATATAGTACGCATGCATGTTTGATGTGAATAATAGTAGAGGGATAGATTTAGTAACACAGAAAATGAAACAAGTTATTGCCAAATCAACAGCTTTGACTCGAAGACGATGACTCGCTTCTTCGTGTGAGAAAGGAATTCATGTTGTGCCGCCAGAGATCTGGAGAGCAAAGACGAAAGTATACACCACGAGTTTGTGAATGGGGAATGTGAATTAGATCATCAAATCACGCGCTTGGGGCTAAATAAAAAAGGATAGGAGGTTAGTTAGATGACTAATGATATTGAATTTGTCAATTTGGTACATAGGAGATCTCGAACGTCGGCTTAGGAAACAAAGAAATGAAGGGAGAGAAGAAGATATAGACTCTTTTATTAACAACTAATCGAGTGTATGAGGTTGGATAAACGATGCATTCATTTTTTTCCTTTAAAAAATTCAATAAAAAATTAAAAACGATATCTTAAACTTTGGTGGGTTTCTATTCAACTTTTGAAATCTGTTTCTTTTTCGGGCCTAATTAGTTTATTTAAACCTATTAAAATAATTTTATTTTAATTTTCCCGCTGAATTGTTGTAATATTTTGGGCTAATACCACTAGGAAACCTAAACTATTAAGAATGTGTCATTTGTGTCCTAAATATCCAATATGACATTTGTGTCATAAACAATTTTTCCGTTAGAGTTGACCGGCCTTGACCGTTAGTTTTTAACAGAAAGTATAGTCAGCGCTGATGTGACATATGACATGAAATTTTAAATTCAATTTTTATTCAATAAAATAATTAAAATTACAAAAATAACAATAGTTAAATCTCCCGGCCCTCTTTCCCTTTCCCTCTCCCATCTCCCATTTCACAGTCGCAAATACCGAGCTTCTTCCGATAGACTATGGTGGAACCACGGAGAAATCGAACGACGACAAACACATCTTTCGCAAATCCGCCATGGAAATCTTAAGCACGATGGGTGATTTAGGGATTGGAGGAGTTCGATTGGAATTTTGAATTGAATCTAAAGGCGACAGAGCCGAGATTGGAGGAGTTTGATTGGAATTTTGATCTGAATTTGAAGGCGACGGAGCTGACCTGGAGTTGTAGGGCCGAATTGAAGTGGTGGTTGCCGAAGATGGATTATTCGCCGTTCGATATTTGTCTCTCCTCGTCCAAGTCGCCGGACCAAGTATGCTTTGCGGAGCTGGTGCTGAAAATCCGGAGAAGATGTCGATTGGAGTCTAAATTTATAAGACGTCGACTAGAGCAGGGAACACCGCTGGAGAAAATGTCGACTGGATCTGGGAAAGCCGCTGGAGAAGATGACACCTGGAGCTCGAAACGTCGTTGGAGAAGACTTCGATTGGAGCTGGGAGCTCTGCCGGAGAAGACGACCTCGATTGGAGCAAGGTAGCCGGAGATTGGTGAGGAAGCCGGAGGCCGCCGAAGAAGATGTGCAAAATTCAAAACCCACCAGATCTGCAAAATTCGAAGTTGGAATGGCTATCAAATTTCATGGAGGAATCATTCTGAAGCTAGTATATGCAAAAGCTGCAGAGTCGGATGACTCTCGACGATGAGAACGAAGAAGGAGATGAAGGACAACAGGTAAGTTTAGATTTTATAATTTAAGTTTTCCTTTGTAATTTATATTTTAATTGTTAATTTTAATTAAAAATAAAAACCTGATGTGGCAGCTGACGTGGCGCATACGTGGCTGCCACATAAGTGCCATGTAACAGACAGTCAACATTTTATGGTTGACCGTTTGGTCAACCGTTATCTATAACGGTCAACAAAATTGTCAGGACGTAAATGACACACAACTATCATATGTCATGACACAAATGTCATATTGGATACTTTAGGACATGACTCACTCCTACTGTCACTCTAGAAATTGGCCAAGTGTAACCACTTCCTAAAGCGTAGTATAGCGGGTTTGGGTTTTAATGTCAACCCGGGTCCTAGATTTGATGACTACTCAGTGAATTCTTGTTATCTAGCAATGAAACTTTAGTGAAAGTCTAAACTAACAAACAAACAAAGCAACTAAACGGTTGTATTCAAGTTAAGAGAGGTCACCCGGATATGGTTCCCCCTAGACTGCAGTTAAGCCGGATTGTAATTACCAAGTTCAGTTTCTATGATAGTTATACTGTGGAAGGTTCTTAAACAGCCTGAAGTCTCGACTAAAGGTCTTCAGACCCTCTCAATCTGAGTCTCTAGCGGGCGACTAACCTCCACCGGAGTAAACAGATTGAGGCCCTAACGAACAAAACCTCCACTACCGAAGTAAATTCAGTACAGAATAGTGAGTTGGCTCCTCGACTAAAGTCACCAACTCCCAACCTTCAATCAAGGATGCTCTATCAACCTAGGCAGATATTCTCATTCTAGGTTAAAGCAGAAACAACAGGAATTTGATCAGGATTCATGCCATTCAATCATTCAAACCTCAATTGAATATAATCAAATCATAGAATCAGTACTTGGGTTCATACAATCAAACCTAACATACAAATCTAGGGTTCTCCATACACAGATGAATGGGAGAACTACTCCATGGAGAAAGAAGCAAAAGCAGAATCAGACGTGGAATTCATACTGTAAAAGATGGATTCCTGCTCCTGGACGTTGATCGGCACTTCTCCAAGCTCAAGCCAAGCTCCAATGATGATGAAGATCAAGCTAGGGCACTTGGGAACTCTTGTTCGTCGCTTTCTCTCTCTAGGAATCGCTCTGTCTCATTAAAACTCGAATCCCTTGATTTTCAGCCTTCTTTTCCCTTAAAACAGCTGCCTGTCGCGATACCCGGTCGGGTATTTTGGGTCTCGACCGGGTATAGTTGAAACACGCGTTTTGCCCAAGGGAAAAATACCCGGTCTCATCCAATAATCCCCGGTCGGGGAATTTGTGCCTCCAGCCCGGGACCCTCTCTGTTTCTCAGACGCCAAAACAGCAAATACCCGGCCTCCTCAGAATAATACCCGGCCCGGTATTTTTGGTCATGGCCGGGTATTTTCTTCCTCCAGCACACTTCAAGCCTCACTTGCTCTTTTCGACCCGAATCTCGTTCCTTCGCCTCGATTCCAACGCCGGGTCCTGAAATACGACATAAACACACAACCTCGCGTGAAATCGGCTTAAAACCCGAGAGTCAACCTCTCAAACGGCTCAAGAATAGAGGTGAAAACATGTGTAATTATCAGTCTATCAAACTCCCCCACACTTAACCGTTTGCTTGTCCCCAAGCAAACCTAACTCAAACCAATGCAACTCTCCAGACCTCTATAGCAACAAACAACCCAGATCGTAGGTAGAGGACTTCCTAGATCATTTAGCAGCTTACGAGGTCAACCGACGCACAAGTCATCTCATAGCTTCTTCGGCGAGAGCACTAGTATCGAGTCGGCATCATGGCAAATAGTGAGCAGAGGACAAATGAATCATGGAAGAGTGGACTCTCAAAAACAAAAAAAAAACATGGACTCGCCTTTTTAAGGTGCTCTATTTCCTTCTTGAAGATGGTTGGAACCCCTTTCCTTTCTGTTTTGCTTGTTTTCTGTTTTTTTTTTCAAGGGTCCCAACCTGCTTTTCAGAAAATGGGGGCTCCCACCTAGCAGATGTTTTGCGGGAGTCCGGCTCTTACCGGCCATGCCAGGAGCGGATGTCTCGAGCCTCGTGCGGGGGAAAGACATGTAAGGGGGCTGGAGGTAGTAGGTGGAAATTGGGAACGGATTCCCGTCTCCCCTTACACACTTTCGCCCTATTCGCACGGGAGACGTTATTTCAAAGCACATTTTCGAGCACCTGTTAAACTCAAAACATGAAACAAGAGTCCATGACAGGTAGAGAGTCCACAACACCACACAATTCAAGGGTCCTAAGATCACTAATTCACTCAATCAACCAACACAATATGAAGAAGAAATGAGACTTCTTAAATGCATCAACATCCTCCATAGTGCTACACTACCTTCCTAGGTTGCATATTACTATAGAGAGTGTCAATTCAAAGCATACTGAGCAGGCAATTGCAAGGAACACGTACTTGGAGCCCTCAAATTTAAAAATTTGGACAGTGGACTAGGCTCCAAGCACACAAACAGATCTAATGCAGTCAAAAGATAAACATCCCCCCCACACTTAAGATCGACATTTCCCTCAATGGAGAAGAGGGAAGGGAAAGGGGAACGATGTTACCGGTATGCACGGACTGCAGGAGACTGGAAGCGGACCAGTCGGAGTGAAGCAAACTGGAGATAGGACCAGGCAAGACAAGCACAGCTAAAGGAAACCAAAGAGCTCAAACACAATACGTCAGGTCTAATGGTCAGCCCAATAATACATCATCCAAAACAAAAGAAAACAAACCAAAACCAAACCGGTTTACAATCAGACTCAAAACACAAGAAAGAAAGTCAAACCGTGGTGGGGTTGCCTCCCCACAAGCGCTTCTTTACCGTCTTTTAGCTGGACGCCCATGGTGGATACTCAGGGAGGTGAAGGAACAGGTGCCTCCAAGAGCGGATCCACGTCGCTCTTGAGGTACAGCTTCAGGTTGTGGCCATGCACCCGACGGATGCGACCACCATCATCGGTCAGCTCGACCTGGCCATCTGGCAAGATGCAGGCGAGTGAGTACCCGGACGGCCAGGGTGGTCGTGGTGCAGGAGGTGAGGCCAGCTCATAGTGGTCTCCACCCTTCTTCCGTGCAGGCTTAGCAACCTGCTGCTTCGGCCGCCACTCCTCCTTAATCTTTTTGTTCGGAGGCGAGGCTGGATGGAGTGGCGGGGAAGGAATGGTAGGAGGGTCCTGCAAAATGAGAGGTGCAGAAGGATACACGACAGGCTCGTGTACCTGATCAGAAATGGCATGCACAGGTGTGACAGCAATCATAGCACAGTGATCGAATTCAGTCACAGAAAAAGTAGCATGTTCATTCCCAGCACGCAGGATCAGTTTACCATCATGCACATCAATAAGTGCCTTGGCGGTGGCAAGAAATGGTCTACCCAGAATCAAAGGCACATCCACATCCTCATGTATATCAAGAATAACAAAATCAACAGGATATGTGAATGCACCTACATTAACAAGCAGATCCTCTATGATCCCCCTAGGATGCACAATGGAACGATCAGCTAGCTGAATGCTCATCCTAGTAGGGCTGAGTTCACCTAGGTCTAGCTTTTTATACAACTTATATGGCATGACATTTATGCTAGCGCCTAGGTCCGCCAAGGACTTGCCTATATGCATGCTGCGAATAGTAAGAGGGATAGTAAAACTCCCTGGGTCCTTGCGCTTTTCGGGCAGCTTGTTCTGTAGGATAGCAGAACACTCCTCGCTCAGCAACACTGTCGAGAGATCCCCAAGTTTCTTCTTGTTGGTGAGGAGATCTTTCATGAACTTCGCGTACTTGGGCATATTCGACAGTGCCTCCACAAACGGTATGCTGATGTTGAGCTGCTTCAACATTGCCATAAAATTGGCAAACGCAGTCTCAGACTTGTCTTTGTGTAGGCAAGTGGGGAAGGGAAGCTGGGGTACATGCTCCTTAACCACTGGTTGTGGCTTGGGAGCAGGGGCTTCCTTCTCCACCCGCACTTCTGCATCGTCGGCTGGAAGTGCTGAAGCAGGTAGTGGTTCCTCCTGCCTGGCCGGGACAGGATCAGCAGATATGGTCTTACCGCTCCTGGTAAAAATGGCATCCAGCTGCTGGTGCTGGTGAGGATCACGAGGATTCGGAATAGTGGTGGCAGGCAGAGTCCCCGGTGCCCTGGTAGTGTTTTGGCGGGCCAAGATACCCACCTGGTTCTGTAGATCTTGCAAAATGGCACCGTGGTTCCTCTGACCTGCCTCCAGTGAGGCTATGCTCTGGTTCAACCTCATGACAGTTGCCTGAGTGCTAGTCATGAATGAAGCTAAAATATTTTCCAGCTTCGTCATCTGATTATCTGGAGCCGGAGCTGCTGCTGGCTGGGCATACTGACGCTGGGGCTGCTGGAATGGTTGCCCCTGCCTAGGCTGGTAGGGCTGCTGCTGTGGGGCTGGCCCCTGTCTAGCCTGGAAAGGCTGCCTCTGTTGAAAACCACCAGCTGGTGCTGGGAACCAGGTGGTTTAGTGGTGCTGCTGCTCCAAGCGAAATTGGGATGTTGGCGCCACCCCTCATTATATGTATTGCTGTACGGGTCGAGGCGCCGAGCATTGGCGATGAAGTCCAACTGCTCTTGGGGAGTAGTAGACTCCCTCATAGCCTGGCAATCTTCCACTAGGTGATTTGAGCTCTCACACCACTGACATTGAGCTACTGGAAGTGTAGCCAAACCTCTGCCCGGAATAAGTCTGTTGGGCTGCTTCAATGTCTACACTAACTCAGCTACCTGCTGCTCGAGCCCGGATCTGGTCTCCATGGCGTGCACACCACGGTCCCGGGAATGTCTGCCTCTGCTGCTCTGTCACCAAGAATGATCTCTGGCAGCCAAGGTATTGATCATCTGGTTCATCTCGGGTGGAGTCTTAGTAAGAATATCCCCTCCTGGTCATAAAGACTCAATCACCCTCTGGCTGTCCGGAGAGAGAGCACTGTAGAAGTTCCCCACTGTGAATGTATCACTGAAGCCATGATGGGGACACTGCCAGAAATATCCCATGTACCGCTCCCAAGCATCACGAAGTGACTCATCTGGCTCTTGGCGGAAGTGAGTGATCTCCCGCTGGATCTCTGTAGTCTTTGATGCTGGATAGTACCTGTGCACGAATTTGTCAGCCAGATCGTCCCAAGAGGTGATGGACAATGGGGGCTGGGTCTCCAACCACCTCTTAGCATTCCCCGCCAGAGAATGAGGCTAAAGGTGAAGGCGGATTGCATCATCGGGTACACCGTTCAACTTGAACCCGTTCGTCAGCTGCAGAAAATGGGAAAGATGCACCCTGGCCTCCTCATCCTTCAAGCCATGGAACTGGATAGAGGATGTAATGAGCTGAATCCAGCATGGCTTGATCTCGAAGTTGTTCGCTGGAATAGGTGGGTAGAGGATGACCGGGCGGATGTCAGCAATCCGTGGAGTGTAGTAGTACTCCAAGGTGGGACCCGGCGGCGGTGGATGATGATGGACCTCATCTGCCTGGGGTATGGGGTTGTTCCCCAGGACCTGATTCACCGGGGGAGCCTGCTGAGGATTCCCCTGGTGTGGATTGTAATCTCCGTCCATCCCGTACTCTTCCTCAGAATCGCTACTGAAGTGGCCGTCTATGCGCTCTTCCGTAGCCAGTCTAGCTCGCTGTTGTCTCCTGAGTTGGCGACAGGTGCGGTCAATCTCTGGATTCAACGGCAGTAAACCTTCCGACTAGCTACGGGTCATGCGCTATCTGCACACACTCAAGCAAGCAAACCCGTGAAGGCACAAGTGGGACAAAGCAAACAATGCGAAAAGAAAAGCTAAATTAACAGAAATCACTTTTCTTCAACAACCTAGCCGTCCCCGGCAACGGCGCCAAAAACTTGACTCACTCCTACTGTCACTCTAGAAATTGGCCAAGTGTAACCACTTCCTAAAGCGTAGTATAGCGGGTTTGGGTTTTAATGTCAACCCGGGTCCTAGATTTGATGACTACTCAGTGAATTCTTGTTATCTAGAAATGAAACTTTAGTGCAAGTCAAAAAAACTAACAAACAAACAAAGCAACTAAACGGTTGTATTCAAGTTAATAGAGGTCACCCGGATATGGTTCCCCCTAGACTGCAGTTAAGCCAGATTGTAATTACCAAGTTCAGTTTCTATGATAGTTATACTGCGGAAGGTTCTTAAACAGCCTGAAGTCTCGACTAAAGGTCTTCAGACCCTCTCAATCTGAGTCTCTAGCAGGCGACTAACCTCCACCGGAGTAAACAGATTGAGGCCCTAACGAACAAAACCTCCACTACCGAAGTAAATTCGGTACAGAATAGTGAGTTGGCTCCTCGACTAAAGTCACCAACTCCCTACCTTCAATCAAGGATGCTCTATCAACCTAGGCAGATATTCTCATTCTAGGTTAAAGCAGAAACAACAGGAATTTGATCAGGATTCATGACATTCAATCATTCAAACCTCAATTGAATATAATCAAATCATAGAATCAGTACTTGGGTTCATACAATCAAACCTAACATACAAATCTAGGGTTCTCCATACCCAGATGAATGGGAAAACTACTCCATGGAGAAAGAAGCAAAAGTAGAATCAGACGCGAAATTCATACTGTGAAAGATGGATTCCTGCTCCTGGACGTTGATCGGCACTTCTCCAAGCTCAAGCCAAGCTCCAATGATGATGAAGATCAAGCTAGGGCACTTGGGAACTCTTGTTCGTCGCTTTCTCTCTCTAGGAATCACTCTGTCTCTCTAAAATTTGAATCCCTTGATTTTCAGCCTTCTTTTCCCTTAAAACAGCTTCCTGTCGCGATACCCGGTCGAAATACCCTGTCGGGTATTTTGGGTCTCGACCGGGTATAGTTGAAACGCGCGTTTTGCCCAGGGGAAAAATACCCGGTCTCATCCAATAATCCCCGGTCGGGGATTTTGTGCCTCCAGCCCGGGACCCTCTCTGTTTCTCAGACGCCAAAACAGCAAATACCCGGCCTCCTCAGAATAATACCCGGCCGGGTATTTTTGGTCATGGCTGGGTATTTTCTTCCTCCAACACACTTCAAGCCTCACTTGCTCTTTTCGACCCGAATCTCGTTCCTTCGCCTCGATTCCAACGCCGGGTCCTGAAATACGACATAAACACACAACCTCGCGTGAAATCGGCTTAAAACCCGAGAGTCAACCTCTCAAACGGCTCAAGAATAGAGGTGAAAACATGTGTAATTATCGTTCTATCAGGACACAAATGATACATTCTTAATAGTTCGGGTTTTCTAGTGGTATTAGCCCTAATATTTTAACCAAACCATGTTAGTAAGTTAAACGGTATACTATTAAAATAATATATTATTCACTCTCTTTTGAGGAATACAAATTATAACTCTCGAATAATATACGCTCGCATTTAGCTCCCGCTCCGCGAATTGGTAAGCTAAATCTGTTGAGTTAATATAGTAAACATAGAAAATACTGGCAGAACTCGCCTTCCATCACATATTGCCTTCCCACGCAAACACCCTACGCTTAATTCCCACTTGGCCATTACTCATTAATTCCAATCCTGACACACACACACCGTCGCCATAGGAGTGCGACCTTCATCATGTGATTAATACATGTTGTTGGAGTGCTTTTTAGGAGCTCGAAGGAAGATAGTGGATAGAGAAACAACTATAGATAGTCTGGGCGAGTAAGAATATTATCCATATGTAGATGAGATTTTATATAATTTATAAATATATGAACAATATAATGATTTTTTCATATATCTAGCCAAAAGCGGACTAATACGATTGGACCATTAACCCTCAACCCACCTAATCGACCTGACCAACTGGCTAAACCGGGTTGACAACCTTTGATCATTTGAATTCTATAATTCTAAAAATTTTGGGTTCCAATTTTTATGAAAGAGTCAAATCGATAAATAATTGTGGACTTTTAAAGAGTGGTTGAAATTCAAAAGTTGGTCTTCAAGGTTCTTTCATGACATGCAAGATTTTGTGTTTATTTATGTTGGGTTGAAGGAAGAGAAATTAAAGCGGAACAGATGGATGATGGGATTGTGTATATATTAATTATAGAGAGTTGCAGACAAAGAAGATAAACCACAAAATCGGGGTAAATTTAATTTGTGAAAAAGCATATACTATATAGTAGCATGCATGTCTGATATGAAAAATAGTAGAGAGATAGATTTATTAACAAAGTAAAATGAAACAAGTTATAGCCAAATCAACATCTTTTACTCGAAGACGATGATCCGCTTCTTTGTGGGAGAAACGAATTCATGCGGTGCCGCCAGAGATCTGGAGAGCAAAGGCGAAAAGGATACACCACGATTTCGTGAATGGGTACTATGAATTAGATCATCAAATCACGGGCTTGGGGCTAAATAAAAGGATAGGGGCTTAGTTAGATGGCTAATGATATAGAATTTGCCAATTTGGTACATCTAGAGAAGATTTCCAGCGTCGGCTTAGGAAACAAAAATCGAAGGGGAAGAAGAAGATACATACTCTTTTATTAATAACTAATTGAGTGCCTGATGGTGGATAAAGGATGCATCACTTCTCTTTTCCTTTTAAATAAAATAAAACTAAAACCTTCTATAAAAAACTAAAATCAGTATCATAAATTTTGGTGGGTTTCTATTCAACTTTCGAAGTCTGTTCCTTTTTAGGTACTAATCAGAATATTTAAAGCTATCATTCTACTAAAATAATTTTATTTTTATTTTTCCGCTACATTATTGTAATATTTTGGCCAAAACGTGTTATTAAGTTAAATGATATATTAATTAAATTAATATAACAGTCACACTCTTTCGGGACACTCAAATTATCATTCTCAAATAATATACACCCTTATGCTCACATTCTAGCTCCCGCTTCGCGAATTGGTAAGCTAAATCCGTTGAGTTAATTCTGTAGACAAAGAGACTACTGGCAGAACCCGCCTTCCATCACATATTGCCTTCTCTCGCAAACACCCCACCCTCAATTCTCACTTGGTCGTTCCTCATTATTTCCACATCTGACACACACATTGTTGCCATAGGAGTGCGACCTTTATCACGTGATGAATACATGTTGTTGGAGTGTTTTATATGAGCTCGAAGGAGGATAGCAAAAAGTAGCAAGTAAAGAAACAAATGTTTCTTTTTTTTTTTCACGCCTGGATTATCTACATTTGTTCGTTTTTTTATCGTAAAAAAAAGAAACAAATGTAGATAGTCAAGGCGAGAAAAAATATTATCCATATGTATATGAGATTTTATATAATTTATAAATATATTAACGATATAATGACTTTTTCATATATCCGGGCAAAAGCGGACTAAAATGATTGGAACTTTAACCCTCAACCCACTTAATCGATCGGACAAACGGGCTAAACCGGGTTGACAACCTTTGATAATTTGAAATCCAGATATCCTAAAAAATTTGGTTGAAATTCAAAAGTGTACTTTAAGAGAGTGGTTGAAATTAAAAATCCGTTCTTCAAAGTTCTTTTGTGACAGACAAGTTTTTGCGTTTATTTATTGTTGGGTCGAATGAAGAGAAAGCGGAACATATGGATGATGAGATTGTGTCCAGTGGCGGACCCATAAATTTTTCATAGGAGGGGTGTCCTCTTTTAAAAAATAAATTTAGTAAAAATAATTAATAAAAATAAAATTGTAAATTAGAAAATACCTTACTCGTACAGGTTAAAAAAGTCCATTATGTGTTTTCATATTCTGAAATAATTGTAGAATACACTTGGTGTCTAGAGTGTTAAAAAAAATTGTCTCTATATACTCTACTAGACAATCATTCACGAACTTATCGCATATTCGATTTGTAAATTTGTTCTTGATGTAACCCAAAGCTGAAAAATCTTTCAACACTTGTCGTACAACTATAAAATCAGAAATAGGGAATGACATTAAGGGTAGGTTGAAATTAGTTTAATTGCTATATTTTGAAAATAATTAGAAATAGGGAATGACATTTTACTATGTTACAATGTTCAAATTCAAACAACAAATTAAGGGTAGGTTGAAATTAGTTTAATTGCTATATTTTGAAAATAATTAGAAATAGGGAATGACATTTTACTATGTTACAATGTTCAAATTCAAACAACAAATGAGTTGTAGTTTAATGGAAATTAAGTTTGTTAATAATAATAGTGCTCTAGGTTTGAATTACCCAACCTATCACTTATATTCCCATACACAAATTTATAAAATGACATTGGAATAATCATTTTCTCAAATTTCAGGGGTGTTCCTCACTACCAGTTATAATTTTTTTATCCATACGTAAATTACTACCGTGGGTTGAATAATCGTTTATCCAAAATTTAGGGGTGTCCGGGGACACCCTTAAACCTCCGTGCGTCCGCCCCTGATTGTGTCTATTAGTTGTTGTGAGTTGCAGCCGGAGAAGATAAGCCACAAAATGGGAATAAATTTAATTTGTTAAACGTATATACTATATAGTAAGCGCACATGTGTTGATGTGAAAAATAGTAGAGGGATAGATTTGAGAAAAATGGATAATAGAGTGATAATTTATGTTATTAACTCCACATAAAAGTCAAAGGTCGTATTGGTAGAGTAAAATTTAAGTTATTATAATGTTTGAATTTTCTTAACTTTTGTTGCTATCAAACACTTAATAACCCCCACTTATTATTCAAACAAGTCTATACACTAATTTATCTTAATTTATACAATAAGAATTATTTTTTTGTGTTCTTACATATTTGAGATTTCTAGGCATAATCTTTTCGTTATTCTTTTGATTTTTTAAATATATCTTCAATTTCTACCAATTCTAGATGATATATATTTCCTCCAAATCCAAATTCATATCCGACAATAAAAAGTTCGCAAATTTCTTCTAAGATATAAAAAAATACACAACAGTATACTAGGACGACTTGATAAAAAAATATACATGAACTAATTATCGCTAATGTTATAATCAACAAATACCATAAAGATTACTTTGAAATAATGATTTAAATATTTTAGAAAATCTCAAATTATTTAAAAGAACGAAGAAATTGATCAATAATAAAATAAAGGGTAAATACAATATATTAGCCACAACTATTATGAAGCGGGGAATTATAGCCACAACTATGAAAATTCAAATTATTAGCCATAACTATTCTTGCGGGTCAAGATATGGCTAACTGTCTGTTACTATTATTGAATTTTTGACAGAGAATGCCACGTCATCGGCCACGGCAGCGGTCAAGTCGGAATGCTTTTAATTTATAACTTTAAAACATAAAATTTAGTGAGTATTACTAACGAAATTGTTAACAGATAGTTAACGTTTGGCTAATAATTTGAATTTCCATAGTTGTGGTTATAATTCTCCACTTCATAATAGTTGTGGCTAATATATTGTATTTACCGTAAAATAAAACAAAATTCATCCGACCAACGGGTAGGATAAAAGCTAATATATATATATATATATATTAACAACTAAAAAACTCTGGCCCCACCCCAAGAGACGCCGCTCAACACCACCCTCCTTCTCTCTCTCGTTTCATTCTCCCTCTCTTGCTTTCACCTCTGCTTCCTTTGGCCTTCCCCATCTTGTTCACGGATTCATGCTCACCCAAGGAGAGGTCGCCGGGTTGGCCGGCGCTAGCGCTCGCCAACAGGAGCTCCCCAAATCGACGAGCGTGGAGTGGTGACAGGGATTGCGACGAGAAGCGGCGCTGGGTAGTGGCGACAGGTGGTGGTGACGGGGAACGCGAACGGAACTAGTGATGGGGGCTAGCGGCGACGGAAGCGGCGCTCCCCTTGTCTGTTCAGTTTTCACGAGAGACATTGTTGGACAGCCCGACATTTTCCCCTCTCCTTTCAGTTTTCGATTTTTTTTTAATTAAAAACCAACCAACCAGAATGGGAAAATCGGCCCGAGCGGTTAACTGTCTCGGCCGCTAGTCGACCGTCCCAAAAAATCATTCTGGCAAAATAGTTGTGACGAGTCAGTTTGGCGACCGGGTGCCGATTTTGCTGGTCGGGCCGGCCGGTTCGGCTTTGATAACACTGCTCAATACTCATATATGTAGGGTCGGGCGGGTCATACTCTTTTGGGTAGGGGAAGAGATGGATCGACCTACTCTTACAAATTATATGAGAAAAATACACGCAATTTTTTTTAATTTTTACGGTAAAATGAATGGAAAAAACTTTATGAATGAGTTAAAAAAACTTTATGAATGAAAAATAGTGATAATAAAATGGATAATTGAGTCTAATTAGTTGAAAGATCAACCATTGAAGAAAAATCAAAATAATAGAAATATAAATAGATATTGTAAGAAATTGAAATAGAACGGCCCAAGAACGATGCGGAATAGAATGAGTCGAAAGTAGATACATATATCTTGCTCCACACTACTACGAATCGGGTATTACACGGCAGTCACGAGTCAGGATGAATAAATCCAATAAGATTTCATAATCCATGGTCATTCTACCATGGATGGCTGCAATAGTTTAAAGGTCTGGGGAGGTCGAGGGCAGGATGCTGGACCTTTCGGATACTTTGAGGAGTTAGGAGTACCAACAGAGAGAGCAGGAATATTCTGGGTACTTGTCTCAATTCTCAAACAGACTTAACTGATAAATTATCATCATCTAGCCAACTTACTTGCCATCAACCTCATAATCACGCTTTTTCTTCTTCTACCTGTAAAGCTTGCTCACCCATTAAAACAAAAACAAGAGAAATAATTGCATTTTGAAGAAAAAAGAAAGAGGAGAAAATATATGCAATAAAGTGGCAGAGGAAAAGGCTGGTGTGGAGCAAGTGTGTGCCCTAACTCAAACAAGATGCTTTTAGATAATTGGAATTAAAGAGAGGATCTTAATAATTAATTAAATTATCTTGAATTTAGAGTGGAAAAATCTTTCCTTTTCCTCTTTTATCCTAAATAATATATTACCCGGAATGATTCACTCGATTTCGTAGTTTCGGGAGTGAATGGAAATATGAGGATTGTTATCAATACTTGGATATAAGAAGAGGAGGAGATGGGGTCAATTGCCATGATTATGTTCACATGTTTTATATAGTCTTTGGCATAAGTACATCGTTAAACCGTTGGACCATGTATCCGGCGACAGTTAATCATTGAAAGAATACAGTAACGCATTTGTTAATGACAACTACCATGTGCATCGAACGATCGTGGATGACTGCCCGATCTAACCGTATAAACACATGAAGAAGTAAAGGAGATCATGATGATGAGGAATTGAAAGGACAGGGCAAAGACAAGAAAATAAGATTAAAAGGAAGAAGAAAGAAAAGGGAACTACTTTAATTCAGGATGACCTAATTTGGTTTGAGTGGGTGGGTATCTTTTATTCAATCACTACAACCATACACATATTAGATTCTGCCACTAATAAAACACATATGATAGTATAGTGTTGTTCAATAACTTTATTTTTTAAGTGGGTCCATGATTGCATGATCATTATAGTTGGAATCCCTTGTCATCTGAAACGTTTCTTTTGAAGTGATATATATATATATATATATATATATATATATATATATATAATGTGAATAATATATAATCGGGTCGTTCAGAAGTTATGATTGTTAAATAAATGTATAGTTGTCAATGCATGTATAATGTTGTATACAGATTGATTGAATTTGATGCAATGTATATAAAACACAACGTTTGCTATGTGTGATTGTGTATGTCATATGATCAGCTAAAAAAATGAGATGTAACAATCTTAACAATCTCAGCTAAAAACTTAGATATAACAATCATTTATTTTGAGTTACAGTTTCTGTCACATCATATAAACAATTCATGCATTGTGTATGCAAAAACATAAGAATAAAGCTATGTATTCTAAGTATTACAAGGATAGTAACAATCTCACTAAAACAATCACAACTTTCAAATGACCCTCATAAATTTACGGCAAATACTGACCGATATACTCTAGGTGATATGGTCATTAGATGAATTTCGATGAGCTCCGATCAATCTCAACGGTTAATTGTTGTTTTCCATCAAATGGAACTTCGGGTTTGGGTTTATAAAATTGGAACCTAGGATTTGCCCATTAGAGATAATGAATAGTATTATACTCCAAATTCGATTTAATTCAACGTTTAGATAGACATATCTCATTAGAAGTATTTGAAGTATAGTATACTCTATAAATACACCATGCTAATCTATATATATCATCTAAAGGAAGATGGTAGCCTTCTTGGCGGGAAAAATCATATTTTGTTCTTATAATAAACCCATAAGGAAATACGGCAGGATGTTTTAAATTAGCACAATTAAGCTCTAATTATTGGTACCTACTACCTTTATATAGCTTATTAACATTTAAACTCTAATCCACAGACTTATATAACCACACCACAGACTTGTTTTCTTAATCCTACTGATGGGCGTTGACGGGATTAGGGAAAGTACACTATGAGTTTGTACATGAGATATTCAAGTTAAAAAAACAATGGTGAAATCGCTAGATCAAAACATCTTTTGCACCGCGCCATAATTTTGAGTACAACTTCTATTATTGCACGTATAACTTCAATGCGTAACACTTTGAACGATGTCACCCACAACATTAATTAGTATACAACCATTAGTTATAACAATATTATATCAGCGGATTGTTTAGCTCATAAAGTTCAACACTTTATTTCTTATAATAAACTCTATTATTGTTATTATTATGGATGGACCTTGACGTAAAATGCTAATAGATAAGATTTTCACAATATATAAGAAAATATTTGGACTTGTAACGTATTAAAACAGACAATTATATCAACTATAGCTTAGCATTCTAGGGCAGAATTTAAATTAACTAGAGCTTAATGGGTAGTTAGCTAATTTAAACAAGACATCAAGAAATGTACATCCCATCTGGTGGCCTCGTGAGTGGCAATCATGTTGCTATAAAAGCCAGAATGACAAATAATGATGAAACACTTGTGGGATATATTGTTGGTTTTTAAATACCCACTTGCTTTACTTAATTATTAGGACCTTAAACCTAAAAATTATTCACATAATTAATTCAACAATCCCTCTCTTTCCTTCTTTCCCTTTAATTTTCTCTGTCTTTTAGCTTTGCTCATCTTGTTTTTTTCTTCTAGTTTAATGGGACCCTAATGCTAAGCTGACACACAAGTGGCCTTCTAAGCTTTGCTTTTATACAGGGTGATTTCAAAACTAAATATAATTTAGTTGGATATTTGATCCAATAAATTTTATAAATATTGAAGAAAAATCAACCGAATTAACATATGAACCTGATCAAATTTGACCGCATGTATTATGATCCGATCATTAATCGTAAGATAATCTTCGCTCTTAGACCATAATTTTCATGAATTTGTTCCGCACACCCCTGCCCAGACACCACACCCACCACATTCATATAATAATATATCTCTCATTTGTTTGTCTTGAGTTTTCTTTATCAACTTATCCTTTCCTTCCATCGATCTCTCTTTGTTCCTTTCCTTACCAACTTTACTACTGCTGCATAGATTGATTGTATGAGGCTATGAGCCTTTTTGGGTTGATGATAGAAAGCTATACCTGTAAGCAAAATCGAAAGCATTAAGCCTGCTTCTCTCCAAACTCCTGTCCTTATGGATCTGCAAGGGACACTGTGTACAACATTTCTTAAAGTTGTAAAGGTTAAGGACACATGTTCACGAGGAGGTGCTTGCTAGCTAGCTAGCTAGAAGAAACAACAAAATAGTGGAGTTGCATTACACTACGAGAAAAAGAAAATTAGTATTCAGTGACCATTTTACGAGCGAGCGACCACCAATAAAAGGTCGCAGAAAATCATGTTTTTGACAACCATTAAGAATTATAGTCTTGAAAGTTCAATCATCGGGTTTGTGAAATTAAGAACTTTTGCGGCTATTTTTACACTTTTGGCAACTCGGTAAATCGTCGAGAATTAGAGCTGTGTGGCGACCACAACTATGATCAGTAAAAGCTTAATTCAACGACCATATAGCCATATGGTCGCAACAAACTAAAATCATATGCAACCAACAGTAAATCGTCGACAATAATTTTTTTTAAACAACCACCTTCTTCAAAAGTCGCCCCTTATGAACAATACCTTTTCAAAGTTCTTAACCTACTATATTGAACAAGTAAACTACACACATATTCAGTCCTCATTTTTCCAAGTGTGGTCCCGAGACTGCACTGCTCTCCATTTAACTCCGCAGTGGCGGATCCAGGGGTGGCCATCCCGAGTCCCAGCCCAGCCCTCGTCTGGATCCGAAGCTAATATAGTTCATATGAGTTTATAGATTTTAGCTATTCGGTCCAGTGTTATTTTATAATAAAATTGTGTGTAATTAGGAAAATGGATCAAATGAACATATTCAAATCACAACTCTAAATTTAGCCTAGAAATTGTAGCTCCAATGATTCTCGTCTAAAGAAACACGGATTATGAAATCTAAAATTCTAAAAGTCTAAAGCGTAAAAGTCTGCAAGAAATATGAGGTTTGGTCCCTTGAAAAATAACTAGAGCAGCAGGTGGAAATACCGAAATAGGGATGGACACACAATACAAATTGATTAGTCGATTGATTTGTCTAGTATTGACATTTCTCGTTTCAACAGCTACTATGGAGAGAACCTTTTCAACAATACAACAGGTGAAAAATGATTTGCCAACAAAATGAGGGATTTTGTTTTTGCCGATTGGTTAACTATTTTATATGAAAGAGAGTAGTATGCTATTGGTATGGATGTAGACTCCATTATTGATGAATTCGCTATATTAAAATATCAACGTATACAATCAACATTTTTTATGGTATTTAATTTTTTAATGAAATGCGGCCCAGTGCTCTACTTTATCCTGGATCCGCCTCGGGGTGCTCGTAATAAATAGTGTGTGAACTGATAAGATTCACCACACCCGAGTTAAAACTTCGAAGACAACAATATAATCACAAAGAGAAACGTTGAATTATGTAGGATATCATGATCATAGTATATCCAATATCTTTTGCCATCTCATCTTTTACGTAAGGTTGGTCCATTCATTGCATGCAGATGCAGAAGCAGAAGCAGAAGCAGAAGCAGAAGCAGTACGTTACGTAAGGAAGTTTGGGGTCGATTGTTGTGGCAAGAACTTATCTAGTGATTGAACAGAAATACCACATGAAAATATAATCCAAACAAGAGCAATAATTTGATTTCGGTTGCATTATTAGTCCTTTCAGCTCAGGATTTGATTGATTATCAGTTCCAAAGGACTGGATAACACATACACATGGAAATGAATAAGCCCATAAGTAGGAGTCGTGCAAAGATGAAATGGCCAAGAAAAAAAGAAAAATTAAGAGAGGGAATTATTGGAATGGAGCTTTTTCCACCTGTACATTACTATTGAAGCATGCATGCAAATTGCAATGCAACTTTAGTGCCTTTTTGGAAACGTAGGGGCATCCCCACAGAATGAGGAGCTAGCTAGCTAGCGAAGGACGGTGGTAATTGGTAAAGTTATTGGGTTGTTTGTTTGTTGGATTTGTGATGAATTTGGATTTATCAGGTGGTCTTTTAATTGGAGCACTTCTACTATGATATATAGTATTGGTGCTTTAATGTACAACTTAAAGTTGTACCATAACATTAAATGTATAAGTTTAGGTTGTACCATAAAGCAATTTGTATCATTATGTTATGGTACAACTTTACAACTTGAAGTTGTACCATCACATAAAGGTACAAGTTCAAGTTGTACCATAAAAGAATTTGTACAAAAAGTATATGTACAATATGAAGTTGTACCATAACGTAAATGTACAATTTTAAGTTGTATCATAAAGGTAAAACCCTATAGCACCAATACTATATAGCATTGTAAAATTTCTCCTTTTAATTGGGGTCATTTGGTGTTTCAATTCAGTTTTAACAATGTACTTCTTGGACTGAGAATTGGAACTATTTGAGGTTTAAAGTCTATAGTTTGCTTCATGTATTTAGGTGCAACAAATTTGTGGGGCTCACAGGCTTTAAAGTACAAATCTGTGGAATTGTTTGATTTTTTTATTATGTAACTAATTTTTTTATAACATGGAGAAAAATACATCTTTGTCCAATTTTCTGACTCCGTCACGGAATAAAACAGTGATTATTAGCCCTTTCTTCAAAATTCACATTTAATGTTAGTAATTTGTTATTTTTCAACCCGCCTTGCTCTCGATTTTGGCTTAGACCACTGATTGATGGAAAGGCAAAGCAAAATCATTTCTACTGCTTGTCAATGGCAGCACAAATCATAAAGGAATGGGAAATGTGCATGGCCTTACTTTCCTTAATTGACACACATTCCTTCTCCTTTACAAAACCCCTTTTCTTGGCTATGGTAACTAAATTATTTTACTTTTTTTTTTTTTTTTACATTTGTGTGTGTGGAATCTTGCTAACATATTCCTTCCACCTGTCCCCTTAATTCCCTGTCATCGTGCCCCCTAGCTAAATCCTATCCTATACTAAGTGGTTCCTCATCAAAAAGAAACTTTAGTAAACAAAAAGAAGATGGCCAGTTCTATTCAATCGATGCTAAGTACAATTGTGTACTAACTAAGCTTTGTTTAATTAGAAAAAAAAAAGAAGACCCAATCCCTAATTAACCATGCTAATTACTAGCTGTCCATTTGAGCTTATCCACGCATGTGGATGGGGAGGCTGTGGATTGATTATCTATTAACTAAGGCATCTTATTTGCAGACTTTACAGTCGATGGATGGCACGAGGGATTTTAGGATTTGATCAAAATGGCCAGGAAGTTGAAAATACTACTTCAATTATATATTTCACCTTTTATTGTGAACAAGAACGTGTTTGGCAGGGTGGAATATGGAGATTGAGAGGCTTTTCAGTCTTGTGGATGAGTTGGATAAATAGGAGGGAGGTTTGGTGCAATGTGATGAGAGGGGTTTAGGCACCTGTATATTAAGAAGGTTGGATGAACTGCTTTGGAGATAGGAGTCTAGAGGTTGGTTGAGATATGATGATGGAAAATGCACTCAAAATCGTGATTTTGCGTTAAAAGTGTTTTGGTGATCTAGAAACGTTAAAATATAAGTTTTAAATTTTAAACTGTAGATTTGACTATATATTTGTAAGTGAAAAATACACTTTTATATAGATGCATTTTAGTAACCTAAAAGTGTAAAAGCGTAAGATTTTAAAGCGTGATTTTGACTACATTGGTGATAGAAACCAAAAGTTGCTATCGAAGTTGTAAAATCACAATAGGACATGTACAAATAATTTATTACTAATCGTGAATTGTGTTGAACGTTTGAACATGAAGAATGGCCAATGACGATTATCACCCATTTTAAGAATGTTTTTTTATATCGAATCTAAACATTTTAGATCATTTGAGACCATTAGTATTCAGATGAGTGTATCTATAAGATCATGTCATTGTAAAACTAAATGAATGCATTGTTTTGAAGACGTAGCTCAATACCGAACCCTCATGTGCAAGATCTCTTCAAGTGGCTAATACTTACCCACACATAGGCAAAATTGTTTATCGTACTTAAAATTGTATATTTTGCAAAAAAAAAAAAAAAAAAAAATTTGGACCCAATGATTGAACTGGAATCATAGTATTTTTCAAAATTTTCGAGAGAAATTAAGCGAAAGCCACTATATTTGACTTGGTGTATTGTTGTTTCCTAACATTATAGATGGTGGCACATTGTAAAATTGCCCAAAACAAAATCTCTATTGACTAAGGGAAGTTTATGACTCATTGCCCTCCTATCCTATGGCTATAACAACTCCAGTTAGGAATAGGTTGTGATACTGTTTTTCGAGACTGTCTTTAGGTTTTCACTTTAATTTTGTAGTCTTTTTTTTTTTTTTTCTCTCTGTATCTTCCCTCGTTATCTTTGTACTTTTAATTTTATGACGAGTTAATTCGACTTCTAGGTCAATATACAAAACACGTAATTCAGATTATAAAATAAGAGAATACAAACTTTGTAAAGTTTTGGTGCCTAAAATTTTAACTCTAACAAAAAAGCTTACCAGATTAGAAAAAGGGTGAAAAAGAACCCCTGGTCAACATCAAATTACTTATTCTATCAAGCTAAGTAAGCCATGAGCCGCTAACATCACCGGGCACTTTGGTCACCCACCAACGCCCTGCCTCCACGTGGGCTGATCGATCGTTGTTGTCCTGTCGGGCAACTCCGCCGGAAAGCGACGTCACCCGCGGGAACCTCTGTTCTCATTGCGCTGACGAACCTTTCCTTCGCTCGCTCGAAGACCAACCCTTTTGTGGAAATGGACTTAAAGCTAAATTATATGAAGTGAGTGGCTGTGACTTTAAAATTCTGTGCCATTGAATTGAATTTCTCTTTTCCTTTTCGCAAGTTGATTGTAGCGTTCAAAAGCAGAGTGGGGGGACGAGAGGGAAAAAGGATCACTCTTTTATCTTGCTTCATTGTTTTGACGATTCCCCCTGCTTTACTCTGTTGCTTTAGTTTCCCTCCTCTTTCTTCAATTTCTTTTTATAATAGTATTGGGGGTTGAGAGACTCTATTTGTCGATTTTGTTGGGCGTGTCTTGTTTGTTTCCGAAGAAAATGGATGGTGGGGTGATGTTGATTCCAGAAGCTCCACAGCTGCTACTCCTACTTACTATTTATTAATAAGCCAGCACCCTTCGATTGGGTTTCCTTCAATTAGAAGAAAGATCGTTGATTTTTGTTTCTTTCCTGGACCTCCCTTCTGGGTTCTGGTGTGGTCATTCAGTTGACTGAGATGGGAATCAGCAGCAGAGCAGGAGGAAGTGAAAAGATGTGAGCAGATTTTGGCTCCATTTCTCGTCAACAGTTGAAGAAGCTAGGGCTCTGTTTGCATATAGGTAATCGAATGTTATGAGTAGTAGTGAGTGATGATACTCTGCTGTCATGGAAAGTTGGTTCTTTTATTGCTCCTTGTTTTTGCAATTTGTTCTTTTATTGCTCTTCTGAGGGTGTTTCTGCTACTTTTTCCATGGTTCATGGGGCTCTGTGGTTTTGCTGTTTGGGTCTAGGGATATGAGAGGAGTCAGTAAAGGACCCTTTTTTGCTGTTTCCTTCTCTTTGTTTTCTAGGAATGGGGTTTCTTATCTTCCAATTCAGGCAAGGAAGTGGTAGATAATGGAGTCTGACACAGTTTTACAAAAGGGGGAGTATAATTGGTAACTTTGAGAGCTGTCTGTCTGTCTGTCTTTGCCTCTCTGTCCTTCTGGGTTTCTTATATTGGGCACATAGGCTGCCATTCTACTGTGAATTGTGACTCCCCACTGATCTCCTTTTGATGATTGTTTGGTGTGAAAGGCACTCAAAATTGGATACCAAAATCCATGCTGCCAAGCCTATAAGGATTCCTTTGTATGAGTGATCTGTTTGACTGTTTCCATTTCCAAAATTGACTACTTACTCAATTGGGTTACTGTGGCAGGTTGCTAGATACTTGACTCTCTATATTCCTTTGGTGAAGAGACTATGATGAGCTCACCAACAACTCAACTAGCAATCTTGAGAGGAATGGGGATCTATGAGCCATTCCAGCAGATCAGCTCATGGGCAACTGCAGCAGCTGACCCTTTTAGAGGGGATAATAATAATAGCAATATCCTCAATATTACTCCCTCCCCGATTCTGCCACAGGATAACAACACTGCAGCACCTGAAAACAAGGTTCAAACTCAAAACACTTGTGCTTTTCCTTCAACGATGGGGTGTTTCTGTATTTCCTGTGTTGTATCTGACTGCTGTTATATTCATCTATTACCACAAACAGTCTGCTGAGAATGTCTCCCATGAGTCAACTGATCCTTCCAAAAGTGACCAAGAAGCTGGAGGCGGCCGACCTGATAAGGTCATAATTCCCCTCTTTCTTAACCTTCTTTATGAAGTCCTCAGTGCATATCATTGGATATGAATTTGAGTTAGAGAAGTATGCTTCTTTCTCACCACAGACACAGAGACGATTGGCACAAAACCGTGAAGCTGCAAGAAAAAGCCGGTTGAGGAAGAAGGTACAAGGTTTATTGTGGATATATGCTGATAAAATTGTCAAAGGAGCTCATGATAGAAGTGTAACATAGGCTTAACTTAAATCACTGTATCATGTTGTGGTTGTTCCTTAGGCATATGTGCAGCAACTAGAAACAAGCCGTTTGAAGTTGGTCCAGTTAGAGCAAGAACTTGTCAGAGCTAGGCAACAGGTCTCGCATCTCATAAACTAATTCCCCCAAGTTGATTAACCCTAGTAGATCTGATCTTAGTGAATTTGGTTTGATGCAGGGTGCATACATAAACAATGGGCTCGATTTTGGAATGCCTGCAACCTTGAATTCAGGTTAATTTGTGACTAAGACCCTTGTTTGCTCCACGTTATTGTCATAGTAAGTTAGAGACATTGGACTGACCACATACACAACTCAACCGAACGGTGCAGGAATCGGGACGTTTGAGATGGAATATGCACATTGGGTAGAAGAGCAACACAAACAAGTGGCCGAGCTGAGGAGAGCGCTGCAAGCTCACGTCGGCGACGTGGAGCTGAGGATGTTGGTGGAGAATGGGCTGAACCACTACGCCAATCTCTTCCGGATGAAAGCAGACGCTGCCAAGGCCGACGTCTTCTACCTCATTTCAGGGAAATGGAGGACCTCAGTGGAGCGATTCTTTCTGTGGATTGGTGGGTTCCGTCCATCAGAGCTTCTCAATGTAAGTTCTGCACAGGAAAAAGGGTTCCTTCAGTCTATGCGTACAACATGTTTTTAACCACCTTCTTGCAGGTTCTACTGCCACAGCTGGAGCCATTGACCGACCAGCAACACGCCGAAGTGTGCACCCTCCGTCAATCATGTCAGCAAGTAGAGGATGCTCTGTCTCAAGGGATCGAGAGGCTGCAGCAGACTCTGTCACAGAGCATGGCGTTGGGTCAGAGCATTGGTGGAACTTACAGGGTTCAGATGGCTGCCGCCATTGAGAAGCTGGAGGGGCTCGAATCATTCGCTAACCAGGTAATGAAATACTAAGATTCGAATTTTCGGAATTCGTCAAGATGTGACATAATCTCAGATGCTACATACGGTGTTTGCAACTGCAATCTAGAAAAAGGGTAAACCGCAAAATCTATGTTTTTTTTTTTTTTTTTTTTTGCATTGGGCAGGCGGATCATTTGAGGGGTCAAACTCTGCACCATATGGCTAGAATCCTGACGACGCGCCAAGCTGCTCGCGGGCTGCTTGCATTGGGAGAGTACTTCGAGCGCCTTCGTGCCCTCAGTTCGCTATGGGCAGCTCGTCCTCGCGAGCCCACATGAAGCCCTTTTTCGGGTTGCAGAAGCAACAACACAAAGCATCCAAAATATGGCGTATGCCTAAACCATTGATGATCGGTAGCTATGGGCTGGTGGTGGTGTGTAACGCAAAGAACCCATCACCTGCTCTTACGTATTCATGATGCCTCTGTTCAGGCCAGGCGCAAGAAGAAGAGGGTCTATTTTGGCCTTTTTATGTTATTATTATATGCAAGTCCATTTGTATCTAAGTAGTCGATCTTCTTTCCCAAGAAGAAGAAAAAAAAAAAAAGTCGTAGATCGTTCCCTCTCTGTATCTGCAGCTGCTAATTGGTTTAAGGTGTCAAAATTTGATGGCTGTAAATAGTAAGTGATGGATGGTATTTGAGTTGAGGCAAGCAAATGTGGTTTAGGGAGTTACAGAGTTGATGTATGTATAGAAATGGGTATTAGAAAGTTTGGGGGGCAATAGGGAAGCAAGATATTATGAGGTGGTTGCTGGTGGTAATTACCAATTAGTGTTGTTAATTTGGTCAAGAGTTTGTTATAAAGTTTGTATACCAATTATCACTTAGAATGTTTGATATTTAATGTACGATTATGTAATATCTAAATATGATCAAAATGAAAGTTTAGCATATGTGTATTCTTTATAAATGAGTGAGTCACACCATTAACAAGTCTAGCCTCTGTCAGTTAAAAATTATATATTTAGATTCCATGTTGTTTGTATGATGCACAACACACAAGGACAATTTATAAAATTGTGATGTAATCTTAGAAAAATCTAGGATACTAGAAATTGGTGTAGTGTCCTTGAACGTATGCCATTATTTTTTACCGCACGTTTTTTGGGATTTTTCCAGAAATAACACTGTTTAAAAAAAATCTAAAAATAGCACTCAACCCGAAAAAATTCCAAAAATAGCAATTTTTCTCAAAAACTGCCACCCGAACCAGCGGTTTAGGCAAAAATCGCCACCCGGGGCTCTTTCTTATGAAAACCGCATGGGGGCCGGGGCGGTTTGGTTGCAAACTGCACCCCACCATGCGGCTTGTAATATATATTTATTTTTTTCAAAATAAGTATCACAAGTAGGGGTGTTCAAACGGTGTGGTTACCATGGTAACCGTTTTAACCAGTACTATTTGTATTTGGATAATTTGGTTTGGTTAATTTGGATAATTGGTTTGGTTTGGTTAAAGTTTTTACCTTGTTTGGTTTAGGTGGTTTGGTTTGGTTTCAGACATTCCTAACCAGCCAAACCAAATTAACTAGATAAATAGTTAGCCATATATCTAATATATACACATACTTAATACTTTGAATAACCACTCAAGAGTTAAACGTTCATTCATTTAGACTCATAAAATATAAAGCTTGATATTATTCATAACTTCCTATAATGTATATTTGTATATGTAGAGTGTAGACCACAACATATGAACGCCTAATTTAGATAAATCACATACATTATGTTGGATGAAAACTTGAAAACAAGGTTCTTTCAGTCTGTGAAAATTACTAAAAGACTAAGGCAATTCAAACAAACACAACAATTCATTAACTCATACCATTGTGATAAATTTTTGTTTGGTGAATACTTCTATACTAACCGTAAGATAATTGTCTTAGTTGCATGTATTTATGTTAAGGGTCAACTATAACTATGTGTTGATTGTTATATTTTATTCATTATATAAATTGTGAATTGATAAATTAAACAAAAAATTTCTCACTTAATGATAATATGATTTTAGATTGGTTAATCTGATTAATCAATTAACCAAACCGATTAAACTTTAGTTTGGTTAATTTGGTTGTTGTATTAGTTTGGATGGTTTGCCTTATTTGGTTTGGTAATAATCATGGTAACCATTTGAACACGCCTAAATTCACAAGTGGTCTTGGCACAACTGGATTAATTGTTTATTGTGAGCAAGAAGTCTTGAGTTCGACTTCGAATCCCCACCATCCCATTTGAATTTTATTTTTATTTTTTAGAGATAAAAAAAGCAACATGTTGTGGAAGTGGTGGTTTGAACCCAGATAATAAATAGTTTACTAAATTTAGCACAATATCTATACCACTCAACTACAACTCTTCTCTTCAAACAATAATATATAGACAAAGTTTTACTCTTTGAAAGCTAAAAATCCTCAATAACTTTAAACAACCATAACTTCGTGCTCCTCCAAAATCCAAACGTCATGATTTTTTTTTTTTGCATTTCGCATAACTTTTTAAGGACTACAATTGTTACTAGGAATGAATTTTTAAAACAGGAAATATTTTTGGATATACAGGATTTTGAAGATAGCTTACCTTCCCTTTTCAGCAATCCACGTACATTTCGAAATTATGTCTATGATAAAAGTTGTAGTCCTTAAAAAGTTTTGCGAAATGAAAAAAAAAATCATGCCGTTTGATTTTTTGGAGCACAAAGTTATGGTTGTCCAAAGTTTGACGAAATCGGAAAAAAGCTCGTTCGGGGTCGCTAACGACATTTTTTCGGGACGAAGGCGAGACCAACCTGCCTTCGCCGAGTTGCGGCTTGCAAGATCTTGAAAAGTTATGCAGAATAAAAAAAATCGCGACGATCGGATACCCGAACACAAAGATACGTTCGTTTGAAGTTTCCACCTAGGTTAGGATTTTTCAAAAAAACAATAAGACCAATACAGCATGGTGGGGGTGCGGTTTGCAACCAAACCGCCACGGCCCCATGCGGTGTGCAAAACGGCCCCCTACCCGTGCGGTTTTCATCGAAAAACGCGCCTCCGGGTGGCGTTTTTCGCCTAAACAGCTGGTTCGAATGGTGGTTTTTGGGAAGGTGTGCTATTTTTGAAAATTTTCCGGGTTGGGTGCTATTTTTGGAATTTTTTTTAAACAATGCTATTTATGAAAAAATCCCACTGTTTTCCCGAGAAAGTTCCTCCATGTCTAAAAGAGATTTTCACGTCTACGAACCTACATTCACATAGTAAGTTATTTGTTGAAAATCCAGCATAAATTTTATGGGAAGCTCTTCCGTGTATATGTTTGTTGAAGCATCTCGTACCTTTATGTATCCTAGAACATATTTAATTTTGGTGCTCTTGAGATCGATTGTCAAATTGTCATGTAGCATTAAATTGAAAAAAGTTATTTGCAAAGACATGTTGCACTGTTCGCCTAGACACGATTTTCCTGTTCATTTAGACTCAAAATTACTGTTCACCCTCCTCTGATTGGCCCATGGTTTGCGACTGGCCCCGCCTACCTTTTTTTATTGGCTGCGCGCTTCTCTCTCTCCCTTGCGGTTTTGTCCTCCGTTGTTTCTGTGAGTGTTGCGTTGCCCTCGGCTGAGCCCTAATTCTCTCTTCGCTATTTGTTTTTTTTTTTATTTCCTTTCTCTGCTTCTCTCAACTATTACCCGTGAGTCTTTCTCATAATTATTACACCTGTCATTTTTCCTCTTTTGCCTTGTGTATTGGTGTTCGACCTTCGGAATTGCGGGCAATGATGGACGCGCCTTTCCTTACACGGCCCCTTCCGTTTGAGTCTTGGGGAAAGCGACCCTCTTTGCTTTTGCCTTGGTATCTGAAACCCGCCGCTCTTGCGTCTAGAATTTTTTTGCCGCTTTTTGTGCTCTTTCTTTCTGACGGTTCTCCTATTTCACATTGTCCTTATATCTTTGCAGAAACACTGTTTCAGTTTCCTTACGTATCTGTTCGCTATTGGGCCGGTAACTGACAAGAGCCGTACTTGCGCCTGCTAATTCTTTCTCTCATTTTTATACGCTTCCTTTTTTTTACGCCAGCAGTTCATCACTATCTTTCTGTTCTCTTTCTATCATTATGTTCTCTTTCTGGGCATTGTTTTCTCTCTCTTTAGTGCTCTTCATCTCGGCAAACATGAAATTCACGTTGCTTTGCAACCTCGGCGCCCCGCGCAATGTGGCTGTTTCTTTGCGGCTGCGGCTGCTGCATGTCTGGCCGGCGAAGTCTCCGGGGGATATCAGGATCTACAATTACTGTACTCTTTGGACCGACGAAACGGTAAGTCTCCAAATCTTCGCGTCTATGTTTTTCTGTTTCGTTCTATGATTGTCTCTGTATTTTGTTTTTTGATCCATTGTGGTGTGCTTTGCGCAGGGTATGTTGATTCATGGCGTTTCGACAACTTCAATGGCTGCTGGGATCCGTCGTAACCTTTCTGTTGGCAAGATATATGTCATAAAGTCCTTTGGTTTGAGCAACCCGCCGAATCAGTATCGCCCATGTTCCATTGATTTGGCTTTGGGTCTTTCACCCTCGACTTCTTTCCAAGCCTGTGGTCTTCTTGCTGAGAGTTTTCCGATTGATGCGTACGAGTTTGTGCCTTTCTCCTAGTTAAATACGCGTGCTGGTAATCATTGTTACTTGACAGGTCAGTAGATTTATTTTTGCTCGCTTCTTATTAATTGCATGTATATGCTTTTTGTTTGTGCCGTAATGTTTTGCCTTCGTTTTATTTTCGTAGATGTCGTTGGCCGGCTCCATTCAATCAGTGGGATATCGCATAAAATCACTAATAACGGCCCCGCAGTCAAGCAGACGGTTATCATCGAGGATGAAAGATTTTTACGCTTTTCTAGGGTTTCTGAGTTTAGTCGTGTGCGCTTTGTTTCTTCTATGTCGTTCCTCACGTATTCCCGTGTTTTTCCTCCAGTGGGGCGAAAGTCACTATTACACTCTGGGATGAGTTTTCTGCGGTGTTGGACCATGTTGCTCTCACTCAGGCTGACTAGATTGAAGCTGTGATTCTTGCATTTGGCGGCTTCCTGGTTAATAAGTTGGGAGGTGTATTTTTTCCCCTAACTGCATGTATCTTTTTCGGGGATCTGCGAGAAATATTGGTGTGCCATTATTTTTTCCTGTCTTTTGTTCTTTTTTTCAGATGATTATATTCTTTCGAGTTCAGCCGGTACACGCATAGCGGTCAATCCTCCTGTACCGAAGGCCTATTTTCTTGCATCTAGGTAAGTTGGTTATGGGCTATTGCTGATTTTGTATGGCCTGTTTTGATGTTCATTCTATGCCCGGGGCACAGTGTAGTTAGGTTCATGCTGTTTGTGTCTGTCTTAGGTTTGTCGAAAAACATGAAGTTGTTGAATCCTTGCCAGTGGAGTTTGCTACAGCTGCTGATGCTACTGCTGATGCTGATCGACGAACCAAGACATTGGATCAGTTGTTGAGCTTGTCTCGAATGAATTCCTCACTGGTCTTTGCCTACTTCTTCTGAAAAGTTTATTGTTTTTATTTCTCTTTCGTTGGGAATGAATGGACTTTCTTTTCTTTGCTAGGAAGAGAGGTACCGTTGTGGTGGAGTGATTGTTGATGTCGAGTCAAGTACACCTTGGTATTACATTTTGTGCAAGTTGTGTTCGAGAGCTGTTTCGAAGCGTCGAGACAATACGTTTTAGTGCCCAAAAGATTGGCAGCTGGACGAGGAACAAACTCAAGTCAAGTATGCTGCGCATTATTTCTGCATTTCCTGTCTGTTTTAGGATTTTTTTTCTTATGTTATTTTTTCCAGTTATAAGCTTAAGCTTGCACTGAGGGACGACTCTTGCGAGGCTCGGTTTATACTGATGGGGGGGGGGGGGGGTTGTGCCCTTGCGTTGGTTAATGTTTCTGCTGCACATCTGGCCCAGAGGTTCCCTCATCGTCCTGGTCAGCTGCCCCCGCAGTTGCATCAATTGCGAGGGCAGTATGTCAAGTTTGATTGTAAGTTGCCATTGCCTGGTCCTACTGGCTTCTCTTCGGATGAGTTCCGTGTAACTCAAGTCGTTCCACTTGATGACCCTACGGTGGTGGGCCATTTGCTTGAGTATTCCTCGCAACCTTCGTTGTCTTGCCCTGTTGTTGCTGTCCCGAGTTTGGCAATGTGTGCAGCAGGTAACGCAGGCGTTTCTTCGAGTTCATCGAGGTCAGTATTGGTTGCTTTGTCTTCTGTGTTTTTGTTCTTGGATTTGTTTGCTATGCCTTATGAATTGTCTGCATTATGTTCTCAAGGGCTGCGAAGGAAAAGGAAAAGGTTTCAGGTCCTCTACTCATTGAGGCTTCAGCAGTTCCGTTCAGTATCATTGGGGAGCCAGACCAGACTGTTAGGTATTCACATCTATAGCCACATTTTCTTTGTCAATTAGCGGTGCTATTGATGAATATGTCTTGAATTATTTATCGTGGTATATTTATTTCACAGCTCGATAGCTGAGGATTTGCAGATCCCTATTCCTGCAAATATTGAAAGGGAAGATATGGTTGTTGGCTCTCAGATTCTTGGGGGTTCACATTTTTCGAGGGTTGGTGTAAAAGTTGGCTCTAGTCCAGCTGCTGCAGTTGTGCCCGTTCCTTCTTCAGTCCAGTCGTGTGCTCCATTTGCCAGATCTACTCCTCCGATGATTTCCAAGCGAACATCCAGAATTGATGAGTCTATGAGCCCTGAGGATGTTAGTCATGGTTCGTTTACATCTGCTGCAAAAGTTCTGAAGCCATCTCCTGGGTCATCTCCTGGAAAGACCTCTGGTTTAGTCGCTGGCTCCCCGTCTGCATCATTGTAGGTGTTTATATCGTATATAGTTAGTTTAGTATTTTATTTATTTCTGTGTTTTTTCGCCCAACACTCACAGTTAAAAGCTATGTTTGATTCAAGATTGGTTTCCCCACTCGCCAAGATCAAGGTGGAGAAGTTAGATGCTGCCGAGATTGCTCCTTTGCCACATGGTGGTTCCTCTCAGGCAGGTGTTGATACAGAAAGGGGTTCTCCAGTGGACAGTCAAAAGAACCCAACTGTGAAACGTACTTTGTTCAAGAAGTGATGGCAGCGTCAAGGTCATTCCTCATTTTCTTATTTTGTTTCGTTTTTCTGCCATATTCCATTTGCAAATCAGTTTTTGTGGCAACTATGTATCTTATTCTTTCACGATTGATTTTATTGCAGGAAGTAGATATGTTTTGGGTTGAAGTTTTTGTGCATGGATCTTGTGCTTCTCTGCGTAGCTGCTTATGTCCCCAGAATTGCAGCTGCCTAACATTCAAGGAGATGCCATATTTTGTTTTGCTTATGAAAGTTATTCTCCTTCTCTAGACAATCATATTTTGGATTTCTGAGTTTTAGAAATGTAGTGTTCGCAGCTGTGTGGATATTGTCATTTTGGATTTCTGGGTTTTAGGAATGTAGCGCTTGCAGCTGTGTGGATATTATCAGAAGATACAATACTTATGTGCTTTTGGTTTACATAGCTTTTCACCTTTTGTTGGGTAATTAGTAGCTGATTAGTTGATATTAGATCCTTTGCTGATGTTTTAGTGGTGTTGTTTGCTATATGTGACATCTTTGTTTAGTAGCTCTTTCTAAGACTACTGCCAGCCTGTGTTTGCCCTCATCATATGTTATTTGATGTCGATATGAGCAAGTTCATGTTTCTGTTTCCCTCACTATTTGTTCATTCTTTGCTTAGAACACGTCAAGTTTTGAGGGGAGGGGGGGCTTATCTCAATTTCTCTCAGGAAGTTTGAATAGGGACATTGTGGTTTTTTTGGAGCCGGCAGGTAGTTTCCAGAACTACGAAATTGTTAGCTATTAACACATTTCATCAGTTCGAACTGACTACACATGTTTCAAAAGAAAAGGACGTTTGGACCGATTTATGATACGTGAACATTTTCTTAATCTTTCTTAGTCCTCTTGATATTTCTTAGTGTGGTGCAGCCTCTTTTTGCCCAAAAGATTAAACTAATATGATTGCTTTTCATCATTTTATTAATCCAATAAAATGTTAGATATTTTTCACATTGTAAGGATATATACTAATTAATACATAACTCACATATTCATGATAGCTAATTAATATTATATACATCTTCCCCCTCATTGGGGTTATGTCATCTTCTCCAAGAACTTCTTTCATTCCACCATAATTTTCATCTGTGGTTTGCTTATTTATATCCTTTGTTTGGCAGACTAAGTAGGCAACCATTCATGTAGCCATCACGCCTGTGACTGTCAAAGGCAAGCGGGTTTTTTATTTATTTCCCTCCTTGATGAGCCTGGTGAATAGATGAGAGTGGTTTCTATGATTCTCCTTCAACACATTCTCATTTAATGCATTGGATTTAGTTTGTTTTTGTCTCAACTTGGCTAATTAAACATCTCAACAGTAAATGATTCTGGTCATGTTCTATTTCTGCTTTTGCTATGCAGCAATGCCTCCCAAGAAAAGAAAGACTCGGTATCAAACTCTAACACGTAAGAGAGCCAGGATTGAGTTTACGGAATAACCATCGCAAGATTCCACAGTTCCTCAAGCATCGTTTGGGGACATAGATTCTGTGTCTAAGAATACTATGCAGGATCATTACAAGGTCTTCATCAAGTCTTGCCATCTTCATCAGGTGATGAGTACACTGCCATCATAGGACTGTTCTTTAAATTATAAGATTCTCATGAGAATATCAAGCCTAATCAATCTTCGATTGTATCGTAGCTTTACTGTAGTGTTCTCCTCTGTGTGTCTTATGCATATCAGAATCTTCAAAGCCAAGAAAATCGCACTACCAGACTCTGAAACAGTTGGGGTCCAGAAATATAACTTGGGGTATCTCTTTCCTGAAACAAGGGGAACCCGATTTGGTGGCTGGATGTAACGGAAATAGCAGTCGAGTGAGCCAAGCTGAACAGCGGAAAACTGATCGTTCACGGCAACATAACTCATCTGGAACTACATGCTGTTCTAAGTCCATTCCCACGGCTAGAAAGCCACTCCATGATGATATTCTGAACATAGGTCAACCAAAATGTGTCTGTAAATTCTGTGGTGCTTTGTTGTGGGATTTGGAGAGGCTTGATCGACGCCGAGCAACAACCGATCCTATCTATGGACTCTGTTGTCAGAAAGGTCGTGTTGGTTTGCCATATATAGCTCAACCTCCGCGTTTGTTGGCTGAGCTTCTGCAATTCGATGGTGGCGCTATGTCCAAACACTTCAGAGATAACATTAGACCATACAACGGTTCATTGTGTTTTACATCACTTGGTGCTTCTATCGACCCTCGCTCTCTCTCTGGAAGGGGGGCCGTATTCAATGGTTATATGTGGAGAAAACTATCATAGGATTGGTTCACTGTTGCCTCCTGAAGGTGAAAAACCAAAGTTTGCCCAGCTTTATATTTTTGAACCGGAGAATGAAATTGACAATTGTTTGGCAAACTTCGCATCCCGTGATGGTCTACTTATGCCAGAACTGCTCACATCATTGCTCCAAATGCTTGATCAACACAACCAGCTTGTCAAAACCTTTAGGCGGGTTCGGCAGCAGCTACAAGATTCTTCAACAACGAATTTAAAACTTTGAATATTTGGAGCCAAGAGCAAGAATAGGCAATATGATTTGCCTAGCAGCACTGAGATTGCAGCGCTTATACAAGGTGATTTCATTCCAGACAGAGATGATCGCGATATCATAGTTGATCATATCTATCAGGGTTTGAAGAGAATTACGAGTCTCAATCCAAAATTTGATGTGTTGCATTTCCCACTCTTATTTCCATATGGAGAGGATGGTTATCATCCGCTCATCAAATACAGATCAGCTTTTTGTCCTCCTATGCGCAAGCAATTTGTTACTCAGCGTGAGTATTACACATTTAGGCTTCAATATCGCAATGGCGAGGGTCATACAATTGTTCAAGCTGGAAAAGCTCTTCAGCACTTCTGTATTGATGCTTACTCATCAATAGAGCTAAACAGGTTGGCTTTTTTGCGTTATCATCAGCCACAACTTAGAGCAGAGGTTTATCAAGGACTACAAGATGCGATGGCGCGGGGGATCTTGGCAGAGATAAAATGGGTCATATTGTACTCCCAGGTACCTATATAGGCAGCCCACGGTATATGCAACAACTATATCACGATGCAATGGCGGTGGTCGAATTTTTTGGAAATCCTGATCTATTTATTACATTCACCTGTAATTCATTGTGGGAAGAAATCACTGAGGCTTTTCGTGACATTGTTGGCCCAAATAGCTCAGATAAACCAATGGTGGTTTCAAGGGTCTTCCACACTAAGCTTAGCATTCTCATTGATGACATTAAGAAAAACTCCTACTTTGGGAAAACAATTGCAAGTAAGTATAGGCTATTCATTTAACATGGCTACATGAATGTGGCATGTTCAGTGCTTTTCAATATATACATATGAATACCTGCCTTTTTAACATGGCTTGCTTTGCTCCAGTAATGTATACAGTGGAGTTCCAGAAAAAGGGTTTGCCCCACATACATTTGCTGGTTTGGTTGGCTGAAGAGTATAAACTGAGGACATCGGCTGATATTGACGAGGTAATCTCAGCCAAAATTCCAGACCCTCAACAAGATCCGGTTGGATATGAAGCTGTCTGTAGATATATGTTGCATGGTCCATGCAGTGAAGCAAATACAAATGCACCATGCATGCGAGACAGAAAACAGTTCACAAACGGCAAGTGTTCCAAACAATTCCCAAAGGAGTTCAACTCTGCCACAACATTTGACAAGTTCGGAAATGTTGTCTATAAAAGATCAAACTCTGGCATAAAGGTTCAGAAGGGAAGTTCGGTACTTGACAATCCACATATTGTTCCATACAATAGGAATTTGCTGGTGAGAATGCAGGCTCACGTAAATGTTGAGGTATGTCATAAAGGCAAACTCATTAAGTATCTTTTTAAATATGTGAAAAAGGTCCGGATAGATCATTGGTTATTGCTGAAAATGCTGATGCATCGCAAAATGATCCAGAGATGCAAGCTCTGAGGCACAGAGATGAAATTCAACACTACATTGACTGCCGATCAATGTCATCTTATGAAGCCATATGGAGGCTCAATGAATATCCAATTCATTTGAGAGAACCAGTAGTGGTGCGTTTGGGAGTTCATTTGGATGGTCAGCAAAAAATACCTTATAAGAAACAGTCCAATGTTCGAAATGTTTTGGGGAATCCTAATGTCGGAAAGACACATTTGACAGAATGGTTTGCTCTTAATCGCAGGGACCCCAGGCAAGGGTTTTAACATATGCACATATACCAAATAACTACACTTAGCTTCGTGACTGTAAAGAGTGGAGCCCTCGCAAGAAAGGATTTGCGGTAGGGAGGATTGCATATGTTCCACCAGGTTCTGGCGATGTTTTTTTTCCTCCGAATGGTGCTCACAAAAGTCCGCGGCGCTCTCAGTTATGCTCATCTCAGAACTGTCAATGGAGAACTTTGTGCAGATTTTGAAAAAACTTGTGAAAAATTGGGGTTGTTATCAGATTCTTCAGAATGGATATGTGTCCTATCCGACATCTAGACTTCTAGCATGCCGCGGGTGATACGGAGCACTTTCGTGTCAATTCTTATGTTCTGAAAAATACCAAGCCCAGTGGCTTTGTTCAATTCATCATGGAAATCTATGGCTGAAGATTATGCGTACAGGTTAACCAAAGATCTCAGAGATCAGTCTCAGAAGCCCACTGATGAACGACTACAAAGCTAGGTCCTACATGAATTGCAGGCTATGTTGAGCTCTCACTCAATGACTCTTGAGGACTTTAATCTTCCAATCCCGTCTGATAGTTCATATGATAATGGAGAGAACCCACTCATTAATGAGCATCTTGACTTCGATACAGACCAGAAACATGCACTAGCCACCTCTATGCTACATTCTCTAAATCTTGAGCAAACTAATGTATACTCAGCTGTCATCAATTCAGTCCACAACAAGATGGGCCGTGCATTTTTCCTATATGGTCATGGAGGTACAGGCAAAACGTATCTCTATAGTGTCATTACAACAAGACTTAGGAGTTTGGGGAAGATTGTTGTATTGGTTGCATCATCGGGGATAGCAGCAACACTTCTTCCCAAAGCAACCACTGCACATTCAAGGTTTAAAACTCCGCCCATTCTAAATGCAACATTGAAATGCCCCCATTAAACACAGAACACATTTGGCTGATCTGTTAAAAGAAGCATCCTTAATCATTTGGGACGAGGCACCAATGACCCATCGGCAAGCTTTCGAAGCAGTAGATCGCAGCTTGTGCGACATACTAAATGTTCCACTGATTGGACATCATTATAAACCTTTTGGAGGGAAGACAGTTCTTTTTGGTGGAGATTTTCGCCAAACTCTTCCGGTTATAATAGATGCTGGACGTGAACAAACAATTGATGGCTCATTGACTAGGTCCAAGCTATGGAATACTTTTAAAGTAATGTGCCTATCAACAAACATGCGCATCACAGCGGTCCAGCCTGCTGACCAACAGCTAATGCATGGATATAGGTTTCCAGAATGGGTCCTTGCTTTAGGAGATGGAAAACTTAAAGCAAGATCGTTCAGAGAAGATGGGCCAGCAGATTGGATACAAATTCCACAAATGTTCCTGATTGATCCCAGAAATGACTCTGTTTAGTCAATCGCAGATGATATATATGATATGTTTCCACACAATCATAGGGATCCGACATACCTAACCAGTAGAGCTATAGTAACTCCAACGAATGCAATAGTCTCTACTATCAATGACTATATGCTGCAGCGGGTACCAAGCAATACAAAAACCTATTACAACTCATATTCCTTGTTGCTGTCAACAGAAACAGCAGATTCGTTTGATGAAAGCTATCCAACAGAGTTTTTCAACACTCTCACATTCAATGGAGTTCTGGACCACGAGCTTACATTAAAGGTATTCACACCAGTTATGCTCCTACGCAACCTAAATCCTGGTCTTGGTTTATGCAACGGGACAAGGATCATGATCACAACATTAGGAGATAATTTTATAAAAGGCAACATTATGGGCGGTTCTTATGACACTGACGAAGTCATTATACCAAGAATAGGGCTCAATGTGGAGAACTCCAAGTGGCCCTTCATACTCGGAAGGAGGCAGTTCCCGGTACGCTTATGCTATGCAATGACTATAAACAAAAGCCAAGGACAAACGCTTGAAAAAGTTGGGATATATTTGCCTGAACCCGTTTTTAGCCATGGCCAGCTATATGTGGGAGTTTCAAGAGTAAAATCAGCAAGAGGTTTGAGGATTCTTATACAAAACCCAGCAGAGATCCCTCACGACTATACAAGGAACATAGTCTTCACCGAAGCCTTTACTGATATTATGAACACCTAAACTATATATCAGGTGAACCCATTAAATTTATCAATCTAATTGATACTTATAACTTCAAATTTGCCTAAAAAGGTTAATTTTTGTGTAGGATTGCAGCAATGCCCTGATGCAATCATGTCAATCTAAAGAGGTCAATGCCTTATCATAACGACATGTCTAGCAAATAAATGGTAAAGAAATGCATTCATCTCTGTTTTGGGGAATTAGTTTTCGAGGATTGAGTGGTTGGTTTACTTTTTGTTAAGAAATGCATCTGTCTAAATCTTTGATCGAATAGTTCATTAACTTTTACAAACTGCAATGTTCCAATCTCATAAAAAGCTCCTATTGTCAGGTCCAACTTCGACTGTAAAGGATTGCCCATGGACTGGAACTTTATTTCTAGCTTACAAGATTAGTTGCTTACCTGCACATTATTTGTTGCAATCATGTATCAGACAAGAACGCTTAAAACAACTAAGGCTATGATGTTTTGA